AAAAAAAAAAAAAAAAAGTTGCCTTAGCAACTCTGCTGGCTCTGCCAGCCGTCTCAGCTGCTTTTGCTTTTTAAATTTCAGACACAGAAGGAAGTAATAATGCTCCCTTCAAAGGCTATTTACAATTCCTGATACACAGTTTACTACAGCATCCTTCGCAAAAACAGGGTCAGAAGAAAGAGACAAAGAACACTTAGTCATTATTAGGCACCATTCTTCCTTTAATTGCTCATTCCTTGTTCTTCAAAGAGGCAAAAGGGTTAAAAGGAACCACCTTAAAGGTAATTTAGATGTAGGATTTTCCTTAGAGGGCTCTCCTGGAGAGGAGCACAATCGGAGCAAAGTTGCCACACACAAAAAGAATTTATATTTGTTCCTTTATTGAGGATTTTTGTTGTTGTTAAAAATATTTTTCTTCTCTGCCTTGCAGGGAAGTTGCCAATTTTTTTTTAACCTCTGCCCAGCATTTGCCATACAAATTGGGTTACAGAAAAATCTGGAGAGCCCCAGAGTTCCCATTAGTTATCAGAGCCCTGCCAATCTTGTTCCCTGGCCCTGCTGATAGCAGCCACCTCTTGGAGAGAGTGTTTGTTCCAGGCCAACCATCCCATTCACCTTCAAATCTCAACTACAAAATAACCAGGGAACACACAGCGGGAGCAAAAGCAGTTGCCAGGTAACAGTGGATTAGACAAGAAAGCCAAATGCACCCACAAGGAGCTGCCTTCAGCATGTCAGATCGGGTTAAGTCAAATCCTGACAAACCCCACCCCCAGCGCTAGTGCAGGCTTGGAGGTTCAAATCAGTTAAATGCTGTTTGCCACCCCTCTCAAACCAAAGTTAAAGGAGACCCACTCCTCTAGTCTTCCGCTGCTCCTAACACTGGGACAGGAACCATGCCTACACATTCCAAAGCATTATTTCAAGGGGTGGAGACCTCTGGAGCACAGGCTGGGGTTGTGTCTTAAGTGCTTCCTTCCCCTATAAAAGCATGGCTGGATTCCTGATTCTGGCTTCAGCCTTTTCAAAAGCCATCTTAAGGGCAAGTCACAGCAAAGCAGCTTGGCATCTCTCCTCTGCATGTAGACTTAACCGCTATGGAAATGTCTCATCCACATCACCGGTCTTGCATTTTGGTGTCCAAAACTCAAGCCAGGCTGATGCTTGCTCCGTATCCATCCATTTGAGTTGTTTTTTTTAAAAAAAAACCAAGGTGCTAAATTCCTACCTAAGCTTTGTTTTTATTGTCCTAACAAAATGTTATTACTGCAGTGGGGAAAATCCGTGCAAGTCCATACAGTCAGTTTTTTTTTTACTGTCTACTGTATTTTGTGACATTTTAATGCAGTTTTAAAAGCCTGTGGACCTTTATATCTTTGTCAGTTGCGTGTTGTGTATTATAAACTGTTTTCTAAAGGCACTGAATAAAGGAAAGTATCCTCCAGACTGTTGCATTGGGTCTTTACTGAAATCTTAAACCTGGCCTGGAGCATAAGAACTGGTGACAGATGCTTCTGGGTATCTGTGAAGCAGAGATACCAGCATCTGGGGAGCTTCAGTGTTGAAACTACGACTCCTAAGCCATAAGACTTGCTGCATCTTTTAAATTAAAAAAAAATGCATTGTAAACTATAACTGTGGACATATTCAACAAGCTTAGAAATACATACAAGCTGCTGCTTGAAATGCCTCTGCTTATGTTCTGACCTACTTTCCTTTCAAATCGGGCTTCTCTAGTGGGCTCCTGAAGGGATCACGTGAGTCAGCTCCATAAAATGAAAAGAAATGCTTGGGTTTTGTGAAAGAGGAGCACAAGCATCAATCAAAAATGCAAGTTCTTGGTTTCTAAATGAATTGGAAGATTGGATTGTCTAGTTCATTTTGGTCCTATCTTAGTATTTTCATGAATTTAAGGGCATTTTTAAGCCTGGTAATTTCATTCTTTGCAATATGTTTTCTGAGTGTGGCAATTACAATCATCAGGGGTCAAATACGAAAAGCATCTGTTTTCCTATAAAGGGGAAAACAGAAATGTGTCTTGCGTTACTACGAATCGCATCACAGTATATTAACCAGTAGCAACATTAAAAGTGCTTTAGTCTCGATGCTCTGGTGACTGGCAAATTTACACAACAGAACTAGGAAGATAACTGTTTAAAGGCAAATTCACACAATCATAAAATTAAGTGCCCAATTATAATATTGGTAAATATTATTTCAGTGTAACTTGGCTCAAGAAACAGGGAGAATTGTAGCTGCCAGAAGAGTCAACTGCATCAACGTTGCATTTGAAACCAAGCAAGCTTTTCTCTGAGCTACAGAGCTCCAATATTGTGAAAATAGGGATGCATTGACTTTGATAAGTGCTGATTGTCACGAGAGCTGCACTGGTCTCATCTCAACTGAGACCTTGCAGGAAAATCCATCTCCATGTACGTACATAGATTGGGGTATTTCTCAGGCTTTGGAACTAGCCAGTTCCGGGCTTCCTTCCTTGTCCACGTTCTCCTCCTCAACTGGGCTGCAGAGTTCCTTGGCTGGTGTGGTCTCTTCTTGGGGTGTCTTGCAAGCACTGTGCCTTGCCATCATGTACACAAATGACAAAAGATACAGCGTGGCCAGAACAGTGAAGTAGCCAAAGTAAACGTTGAACTGGAAGAGGAGAAAATGCAGGAATATTTTGAGAAAGAACAATACCTTTACTTCATTAACCTCAATGCAAACAAACACACAAAAATGAAAGCATCAATCCACCTAAGGATTGAAAAGAATAGTATAGGTACTCCTCGACTTACGACCACCAATTGAGCCCAAAATTTCTGTTAAGTGAGACATCTGTTAAGGGACTTTGTCCCATTTTACGACCTTTCTTGCCACAGTTGTTAAGTGAATCATTGCAGCTGTTATTAACACAGTTGTTAAATGAATCTGGTTTTCCCCATTGACTTTGCTTGTCAGAAGGCTGCAAAAGCTGCTCACATGATCCCAGGACACTTACAACCATCCTGAATATGAACCAGTTGCCAAGCATTTGAATTTTGATCACGTGGCCATGGGGGTGCTGCAAGTCTTAAGTGTGAGAAATGGTCACGTTTTTCAGTGCCGTCGTAGCTTTGAACGATCACTAAACGTGCTGTTGTAAGTCGAGGACTAGCAAAGTCAATGG